TTTTATCAATTTGTTGTTTTACTACTATTTTTAGAGATTTTTATATTTTTTACTATTTTTGAAAGATTCATTAATTAAGAAATTTTTAAAAATAAACATAATAATACTAACTACTTCACTTGATTGCTAATTTTTTTCATGCAATATTACTTTTATCGTAATCACTTAAACTAATATTATAATTATTTTTTATTTTAATTCTTTTAAAATTATATATATCTAATTTTTGTCTTTTAAATTAAAATTAAATATATAAGTTTTATAAAAATAATAAAATAAAATAATATAAATATAAATATAAATAAAATCTTAATATATTTAATATTAATTTAAGTTATTTATTCTTATAATTACTTATTATATGTACTATTTTTGTACAATTTGTATTATTAGATGCTGCATATTAAAAATTACAAGGAATTTTTAAAATATTTGAATTAAAAGATGTAATAATATATAATTTTTTATAATATTAAGTTCAATTTATTTTATAAATTATTAAATTATTTGAAAATAATAAATATAAATATAAAAATATTTATTTATAAAATATCTATTAAATAATAATTTATTAAAAATTAATTTTACTTTTTTAATCATTGCAATTAATAAAGATTTATTTTAATTTTAATATTATTTTCATGTAATTTACTATATATAAATATATTATTAATATTTATTAAATTATTAAATTATAATTATTATTATTTTATTTACTATTTATAATAAATTTGGCAAAATTTGAAAATATATATTAAATATTCTTCTCAATTATAAAAATTATCAATTGAAATCAAAGTTTTATTTAATTTAATAACTTGTACCATATTTATATTTTTAATTATATAATTTTATCTTTTTTTATAAATATGATTTGATTCTTCAATAAATTATTTTATAAGATTAAAAAGAGCTTTAAACATTTATTGATATATAATAGTAGTTATTTAATAGTAAAAATTTATGTAAAAGTTAAAATTAATAAAATAAAATATAATAATTAATAATTAATAAAAATATATTAAAATAATTTTGTTAATAAAAATATTTACTTGTATTATAATTTATTTTAAATTTATTAATTTTTTTAATAATTCATTTAAATAATAAATTAATTTTAAAATAATCATATTTAATTTATTTTTATACTTGAATTTGAGTAGTATAAATAATCATTATATGAATATCATCAAAAAAATCTTATATAAATAAATAAATTAGATAATATAAGAAATTCAAATTTAAAAATAAAATTATATAAATACTTAGTTATTGAACATATTATTACTATTTTTAGAGTTATTATCTATAATGATATTTTTGAAATATGGTAAATAATTGTGTTTAATTAAAAGATCAAACTATTGAATTATCAAAACTTATAATTTAAATATTAAATAATAAAATAACAGAGTTGAATATAACTTTAACAAGAAATTTAATGAAAATAAATATAATAGATATTAAAGCTTTTTCAAAAATAGCTATATAAAAATGCAAATATGAATAAAAAAATAAATAATTTAAAATTAAATACTGTCTCTTTTAGATTAACAATATAAAAATAAAAATAACATAATATCTTCTTGGTGTTTCTCTAATATTAAAAATAATAATACAAATAATAAATAATAAATAATACAAATAATAAATAATAATGCAAGTTTCAATCAAAATTTATTTGATATTATTTAAAGAACATTTTTGTAAATATAATTCTAAGCTAAGATATATGTTGCTTATATATCTATTTCTATCTTAAAAAGAATCAATTAGAATCTAATATATTCTCATATATTACAAGTAATATATAATATTATTCTAATTTGTCAAGTGTTGCATATTTAAATCTGGTACTAACACATACTAAAATATTAAAATACTATTGATACTCCTTTATTATTATACAATAAATTAATTAAATATGAAATAAACTTAATATAATACAAGATAATACCAATATAATACAAAGAAAAATTAAATATATGAGAAAAATTAATTAAAATATAAAAATAGAATACATGCTAAATCTTAATAAAATAATCTATATTATAATATAAATCTAATTTATAATAAAGAACCAATTAAAATATCTTAATAAAAATTAATTAAATTTATAATAATCATTATTTTTTATCAAATACTATTATCATGTGAGAGAAATATTATTATTATAGATAAATATTGAGCTCCTCATGATAATGATGCTATATTCATCTAATTGATTTTTTGTTTTAGCATGTTAACAAATAGCTAAATAATATATAACATGTCACAATGATGACAATATTTCTGAAAATTATTAATATTATATAAAAAATTATATACAACTCCTAATAAATTCTGGTCAAATAGATATTTTTCTTTTTAAATTTTATTAATATAATATTTTAATTTATTAGTATTATTAAATAAAGCATGAACTTTATATAGATTATTAACGCTAAAATAAGTTTTAATGAAATTATCTAATTTTAAAATAAATTTAATTAGATTATATAATATTAAATAATTTTATAATTTAAATTTATCTGTTATAATATGAGTGAATATAATATCTAATAAATTTTTATTTGCTTGTTTAATATAATTAAAAATTCATATAGATAATGATAGTAAAGATATATGTATTTCTTTACATACAAATGAACTTGCTTTGAGATCCAACAGAATAATTTTGTAAAATTCAACCTTATAGAATTTTTTATTAATATGATCATGACATATTTTGTTTTTTAATTAATAAAAATAAGCTAAATAATAAAATATTTAAATATTTAAAATTAATTTAAAAAACTTATAAGTTAGTTAATTTTACTTATCACAATATTTTTCTTTGAAGAATTAAATAATATAATATAACATTTATTTGTAAATTGATTATCAATATGATTATTAAACTATAAATAATTAAATTAAATTATTAATATATAAATAAATTTAGTAATATAATTACCTTATAAATATTATCAAATAAGTTGTGCAAAACTTTAATATTAATATTAGAAGAAATATGCATAATCAATAATATTTTCCTATAATCTTCCAATTTGCACATCCAATAAAATAAGTAGTTTCTGAATGATCTTGACATGTTAAACAATGTAAAACAGATTTGCCTTCACATATTTTTCCATTATTTTGAAATTTACAAGATGTTTCTTGAGCAACAAGATAAAGTTTAATATAAAAAATCCAATTTTATTATTATAATATTTAATTAAATTTTAAAGTTTTTTGTTACTTACTCAAAGGTATTATTATTCATATTATTAGATGAGATTTCTTGTGTAATTCACATCATAAGATCAGAGCTAACATCAACATTTTGATGTGATTCATTTTGTAATTCATATGCAGCAAATTCACAAAGCTTTGAATCTTGACAGGTTCGCATTTCTCATTTTACTTCAATACCAAGATAGGAACACATGACTTTATATTCATCACCAGGTTTGCCAATTGAATATTGAATCTAAAAATAGAATTTTAAATAAACATATTAATAATATAATATATTATATTACTCAAAAATAATTTATATAAATAAAATATATTTTTGAAAACTACATTATTAAGCTATAAAATATTTAGAATACTTTGAATAATATAATATATTAAATTTAAATTATTTAACTTACATCTTTAAATGCTAATGGTTCTTCCCAACCTTCAATATTATATATATATGTTAATTCCTTTAAATAAATTATTTTATTTTCATCATTTTCATCATTTGTATCATATGTAACTGTAGTATTATATTCGACATTTTGAAATTCATTATCTGAAGTTTGATTCTGTATAATTTTGTTAATTTTAATTATTTAGTTATAAATTTAATAAATAATATGACTAATATACTTACACTTTTATTTTCATGTCTTTCATAGAATTCTAAATCCTCTTTGTAAATAGTTATTTACATACAAGTATGATCATTCTTTATACTTATAAGTTTGATAAGTCTGATTATCAAACATACGTATGAGTATAATAATCAAAAATTGTACTACGTTACTCTTCTTGTATATCCGACTATACACCTTTACATAGGACTGTGCATTTATAGAGAGTAGAATATATGTCTTACAACTTTGAACCAAGCCATACGTGCATTTATAGAGGTTTTACTGTACAAAGTTGAGCAAGGTTTGCAGATCAATTTGCCTAACCAGACATTTCCTGTTATTCCATTGGCGCATGGTCTAGAGTTTGACTTCTCCCTCATTATTTTCGCCTTTTAGCGGGGCTTTTGCAAGTACATTTATAGTGTCTTTGAAAGTTATAAATAAAATGTCTTCAAAAGAGTATAAACCTATGGCTGTTTATGGTCAAAGGCATTTTTATAAAGTAGAAGACTTGGGTAATGCTGTGAAAAGTGCGATATTTTACATTAATAATCCAAAGGTAAAAAAAGAATTCAAATATGGATTTATGATTATTCATTTTTGAATTCAGTAATTAACATGTGAATTTAAATTTACAGAAATCACTTGATTGCACGAATTTGAAGAAAGCATTATCATCATCATACTCGTGTGATAATAATTTGTCTGATACGAATATTCTTAAAGTCGATATAATGGAAAAAGAAAAAAATCGCGCGAAGGTAAAATAATAACTTGTGAATTATATTAATGCAAAGAAATTTTAAATAACATTTTTTTTACTTTACTATAGGTGAAAATTGATTTTTCTTTAGATCAACATCATGCACAATTTTATCAACATCTTCGCAATCACGATGATTCACTATTAAAATTTTCACAAAATGGTCTTGCAGATTGGATTCCTGGAGATATTAATAGCGTAAAAGCCTACACAACAGACAGTGATTTTTCTTTTGACACAAAGGCAACAACATCTTCATTTTCTAAAAAAAATACACAACAAATTATTGGTCCCGAACAAATACAAGCAAAAATCAAAGAACTGACTGAAAATTTTTCATCGAAATCAGTTGAAGATATCGAAAAGATTTTTTGTGATATTTTCCCGAATAGCAATATAAAGGTTTCGATAAAAGATGGATTGATGTTTGTTTTTGCTGTTTTCGTGACGTTATTTGAAGCAAAGAATGCAGAGTGGTTGACAAATTTGTTTAATATTCTACTTAAAGTTGAAAATCTGCCGCTATTAAAAAGCACTTCGGTATTTTTTTATATTTCTTTAAATTTAATAATCACTATAATAAATATTAATATTGTCACTACATAGGGAATCGATCCTTGCCTTCAACTGATCTTTATTATAATTGGAGTACTGCAATGGACAGGTACAGCAAAAAATATTAAGCCAAATATTTATCAAAAAAATTTACACATTGTTATTGACCAGCAATTTCTTATAATTGAATAGGACCTCTGAATGAAGGCAAGTTGATCTTATAGAGTTTAGTTTTTTCTTTTTATAAACTTATTAATAAACTTAAATATCTCTTCCAGCATTCGATCAACTTGCTCAAAGTGATAAGGAATTCGATACAGTTCTCGGTGCCAATAAACAAGACTGTCTTTCACATGTTGAAAAGATTGAGAAAGATTTGGACGCTGTTTTCCTGTTGATGCAAACTAAGCCTATTTTCTTCAAGCAAAAGAAATATACAAAAATTCATGGTAAAATTTTTTCTTGGTTATTTTTAAATAATTCTGAATAGTATTTTCTCAATTATCATTTTTTTATACAATATTTAGCTAGTCTCGATCAACTTTTGAACTCTCTAAGGGATTTTGTAACTATATTGTGCTTTTTATCATACTGTATAATCCTACTTATTTGCATATTTGGCTTATCAATTTTCTGCTTTTCAGATGGAATTTTTAAAGGATGTTTCCATGAAACTTCACGAGCATTTAAAAAATCTCCAGAAACAGAAGGCTTGTTGGACGGCTGCTTATGTTGCCGCAATTTGGTAATTACAACATACCATTTTATATAGATTTATTTACTTTATACATGATTTTAAAACCAATAATCAATAACAGTACTGCGGTGGGTTTATTGGCTTATGGAGCTATGAACATTGGACTTTTATTTAAAAAGGTATATTATTTAGCTTTGTTTTTTCTGTTATGTAGTTTACTTTTGAACGCCTCTTCTTTTATCCAACTATAAAAAATTCTATACTTAGAAACTATTATTAGGTGGGGTCTTTGCCGCTGGAAAATTAGCTTCAGAAATTGATTTACTTCGTGAAGGTTTGAAAGTAACGATAGATCGGCAGTCAAAAATTTTAGACCAGATAAATAATTTCCATTTAAATATTCAAGAAATGGAAACTAAACTAACAGGGAAATCGGTAATTATTCCAAATATTAATAATATATGTTTATTTTTGGTTGATTCCTTACAAGAAAAATTTCATCATTTTATCATAGCTGAATCAAATGAGTGGCATGAAGGAGGAAATGACAATATTAGCAAAAGAATTTAAAATAGCATGTGGCAACATCCGACAAGTATTTGAAGGGAAATCAAGAAATTAGTGATAAGGTTCATTAAAAATATTTTCATTCCAGATAATAATTTTATTGTTTATTTGGGTTCCAAAATTGATGGCGAGTCTTTATCTAACTATTATTGTTATAAGTATAAATAATAATTATTATTATTATTATTCTGATTATTATTAGTGTATTCTTCTAGTTTAGTAGACAATTCTTGTCAATATATTCGCCTTTGTAGTACTGACATGTTCGTAAATTTTTCGAATTTCCTCTAAGGTCACATCCGAGATATCGGCCATCAAATAGGCGATTTCTCCGCGTGAATCAGAGAATTGTTTCTCAACATTATGATCGGAGAGAATATCGTTGATTTCCTATGTAATATAAAATGTATCACAATTATTTATGTATAACAAATACTACTATTTAGAATATTTATTTACCTTTAATACACCAGGTACATTTTTATGAGCAAATAACAAACGACATGAATTTTGTGTGGCAGCTGGAATAGCACGAAGGTCTATTTCTGGAAAATTAACAGCGCCAATTGATGTTCCATTATTAATGTATTTTACGAGAAACCCTGCCACTTCGAGTCCGATCATATGTTGTGCTTCTTCTGTAGAGCCACCTGGAAAAAAGAAAATATGTCAGTGATTTATATAATCAGGCTATTGTAAAAACCAAAGAATCATCATTTGAACCTATATGCGGCGTCATTATAAGATTTTTGCATTCCAACAAGTCTTTTGTCCATTCATTCAACTCGCTATTAAAGGCATTTGATTCGTTGGAAGCTGGCTCACGTGGAAACACATCTAACGCTGCGCCCGATAAATGTTTACTCTTTAAGCCTTTAATCAATGCTGGAATCTGCACAACAGAACCCCTGGACGCATTTATCAGATAGCTTCCAGGTTTCATGAGTTTAATTTCCGAATCACCGATCATACCTTTGGTTTCATTGGTTTCTGGCACATGTATGGTCACAAAATCAACACGTTCCAGTAGCTCATGGAGACTACTTAATTGTTTGGCGGATCCGAGTGGCATTATCTGAATTATATCATGAAAATACACTGTCATGCCCATCGCTTCCGCTAATACGGAAAGCTGAGATCCTATATGACCGTACCCAATGATGCCTAATTTTTTATAATCAAACTATGATCGTCAGATAGATAATCTCGATAGGTCATAAAATAAATGAGTCATATAAATACCAAGTTTCTTTCCGCGGATTTCATAGCATTTATTCGAAACTTTATGCCAGTCACCTCTATGCATCTCGTTGTTACGATCACCCAATTGACGTGACAACCCGATTATTTCTGCGATCACGAGCTCGGCAACGCTTCGACTATTACTGAAAGGTGAGTTGAAGACTGAGATTCCTTGTTTCGCTGCTGCTTCCAAGTCAACTTGATTTGTACCAATACAAAAACAACCAATAACCAAAAGTTTCTTTGCTTCCAACAAGACTTTTTTTGTTAGTTTAGTTTTTGAGCGAATACCAACCGCGTGTACATTTTGAATTTTTTTAATGAGTTCTGCTTCTTGAAGAGATCCAGCATGTTGCTCTATCTGAATAATTGATAATATCATTACTTTTTGCATTAAGTAAAAATCTCTTAATTAACAACACTACTTGCCTGATATCCCTCTTTCGTGAGCAATTCCACTGCACTTTTGTTAACATTTTCAAGTAACAAAATTTTGATTTCACCAGCGTCAAATGGTCTAAGGATTTTTGGCTGGAGAGATGGGTTAGAACTTGAATGACGAACAGCGCTTTGTTGGGCCATCTTTATGTATTGACATATTACGCAAGTAGAATAGAAATTTTTATCAGGATCCACGTTACACTAGATACCATGTGTGATTTGAAAAATTGGTTCCTCGAAGAACAAAGTAGAAATGCAGTCACCTTTCAAAAGAAGCCGTCTGACAAATCTTGCTCAACATAATAATACATATACGTTACTAAGTACAATCATATTTTTTGTTATATTTTATATATGTGTACCGACAGCAGTAGCTTCACGAGGAGATCATGCAAGTGAATTTCAAGAATGTGTAGAAAAGTGTCGGCAATCAAGTTGTTCTTCAAACACCCTTTTACCTTTTATTTTACGTTTATTTATGTGGTCATGCGAAGATGAATGCAAATATGAATGTATGCACGAAATCCATAGCAAAGCTCTCAATTCTAATCAAGAAATAGTACAATATTATGGAAAATGGCCATTTCATCGACTCTGGGGAATGCAAGAACCAGCCAGCGTACTATTCAGCTTCTTAAACGGGTACACGCACTATCGCTACCTTTCCATCATCCGACGAACGATCCCCGACACATACTACATGAAAAAATTTTATATTGGCTACGCGTATGCGTGTATAAACTCCTGGTTCTGGTCGGCCATCTATCATTCACGAGACTTTCCCCACACCGAAAAACTAGATTACTTTTCCGCCGCGTTCTCGATACTATTCTCATTTTTATTTACCTCAATTCGCATATTTCATATACGTAGCAGAAGAATAATTTTCGTGTTGGCTACTCTTTGCCTGTTGGCGTTCCTTGCACATATTTCTTATTTGACTTTTGTCACATTTGATTACGGGTATAATATTGTAGCGAACGGGGCTGTTGGGTTTGCACATAATTTCATTTGGGTTTGGTGGTCGTGGAAGAATTGGCATAGCCGGCCTGATGCATGGAGACCGTTTGCGGCGGTTATTTATGTTGCAATAGCTATGTGCTTGGAGATTTTTGATTTTCCACCTGTTTGGGGTGTTTTGGATGCTCATGCTCTTTGGCATGCTAGTACTATTCCTTTGAATGGATTTTGGTATGAATTTTTAATTGGGGATGCATCAATTGAGAGTTTAAGTGTAAAAAGACATTGATCTAATTGAAATAAGAAATTTTTATCTATAAAATAAATTCATTTAATAAATTTGTACTAAAATTGATTGATCAAATAAATTGTTTGTAAAAGTCAATCATAACCTGATACAAATCATTCCTACTAGTGACTACTGGCGCTTCTACACATTAAACCCAAAACTGCGCATACACACTTTATGAGCTTCAATTAAATCCTTACAATTTTCTTCACCTTTTGCGAATATACATTCGTCGCGAACTCTTTTGGTATCTGGGCACGCGCAACACGGTTTAAGATTCGCTGGAGGTTGGGAGTTGGCGGTGCCGTTTGTTGCAAGTTTTTGTTGACTTAGGACTAGTGAAGTTTCTGGCTTATTATTGTCTTTGGTCATTTCAGCGTGAAAGAGAAAATACAACAGAAAATTTGATTGCTCTGCTTTTCACCCCAGACGCGGTGCCCAAAAATCCCTTCTCTTTCCTGAAAGTTGGGTGATCAACCCGGGGGTTGATAGTATTTGAAAATAATCTTTAATTGTGATAAAACTGATAGATTTCGTCTTATGTATGAAATGTACACATGAAAAGAATATCCCAGAAATCTTTTATTTATGGATGAAAAATTATGTTGAGCCAACTAAAAACTAACTTCCACAATATTTCAATTTATATTTTGAAGCTGACAAAGTGAAACATGATATACATATGGATTGATTGCCCAATTATCTTGTATGGATATTTAACAATTAAAACGTTATGTCAGTATATCCACATGTGCTGACATTTGTTTTTCATAATATCGATATATGACAATTTATATTTCATCAATTAAATTAACATCTGTAAAAAGGAAATGATAACAATAAAGTAAAGTCTATAAAAGTCCATGAAAAAATTGCGATAAACCAAAGTTAGAACAATTATAATCTGTTAATAATAATAATGATAGTAATAATAGCAATAATAAATATATCATATAAGAATTAAAATATACGAAATCGAGTTTGCTAGTCTAATACATATCCTATAGATATAAAAGATATCATCAGTAAAATCAATAGATCAAAATTCCACAAAAATAAAACTTACCGCAAAACGATCAGGCATGAACACAGGGCCTAAAAGTGTCCATGCATAAATCGTTAAACATAGCCAGCTTGAAACAACCTTAACCCAAACAGCGGTATAACTTTGCCCGATTCTCACTAATTCATCGTCTTTTGATATAATTGTATTCCTGTTATTTTTTTAAAAAATAATTAAAGTATTGTCGGTAATTAATCAATACGTCACTTTAATCGAATAGATCGGTTCTTTTTTTTTTTTACTTACCAATTGGTCAAAAGCATTGCCACATACATGGCGGCCAAAGCAAAAATTATATGGAAAAACGAGTAATTATAGGCAACCCCGTTTTTCTCATCGTCATTACCATCAGCGTCGTCGTCGTCGTCCAACGCGGAAGCCGGCACTGCACCACTTTCAACAGCCGCCAACAATGCGTCCGAGCGCACGTTGGGTGAGGAATCGTTTGGCTGGTTAGTTAATGGGACCGCAGATATAGTATTCAAAGGATGATAATCCGATTTAGTGATTAATGCCTTGCCTTGAGTTGCAGCTCTCGACGTAGAAAATGCAAGTGCAAGGAACGTAAATAACGCGCCTAACACTATTGTCGTCGTACGTGTTCCACGACTGCGTGTCAACGGATTGCACATTTGATCATCGGGCTCGTTAGCCACCGCACTCAATATTACGTAGGTAGCATAGATTACTACCATCGATGCTTGTGATAAACCAGAATGCGAATTTTCTTCTTGGACCTTCGGATGAACACACATGATAGTGACAATCAGGCAAAGAATAGAATTGAACGTGATAAAAAATTGATTGAGACTGCATCCACTTCCGGCGAAAAAAGCATACATCAATCCAGTCAACACGATAGCTCCCAAAAACATTCCAAGTGTTGATCCAATAAGAATGTATTTCCACTTATCGTTATCTTCATCCTCCCATTTTTCGATACACATTTCCGCCCACGAGTGAGCAAAGTCAACTAACAGCACTAAACCAAACAAAATGAAAATCGAACCGCCAATTAACGCTACATAATTACCCCAGAACATGAAAAATTGATTTGGAATGAAAAAAGATGTTATAAGCAAACTGATCCATAACAAAATTTTTGGACCCCACCACCTAAAAAATCATATTAAGATAGTAGTTAATTAATAGTAAATAAAGAAAATATTTTGTCAAGTTTCACAATTAAATACCCATTTTGGATGGAAGCGCGTTTATCGTGTGTATCATAAACTCCTGTCACTAAAACTCCCAATAGAAAATGGAAAAGACTAAGTGCAAAACAAATCCGATGTACCTTAAAAATCAAATAATCATACAAAATTACTATTATTATCGGATCATAAAGGTCATTTCAAAATTTACTTACTGCAAGAACACCGTAACATGTTCCTTCAGGGCAATTTAGCTTTAAATAATCATAAGTTATTGATTCTAGCTTTTTTATAGCCCAATCTGATAGCATTATCCATGCAAGCTATTTATTTACAGGTAAATTTTTATGATTTATTTTATAAAGGTTACTGCGCAAATACTAATTCAATAATTTATTTAATGTAAGCTCACCATTGAATTCAACAAGAATATAATCTATAGAGACCGATTAAATATAAAAAATTAAACATTATTCAATGAAAAACTTATCAAAAAATACTTTCAAATTAGCTACCGCAAATCCAATTCTGGTCGCAATTGAGTTGTTACAATTACAAGATTTACACCCTAGAGAACAAACAGCGGCGGAGAAACATGACCCCACAATTGACACGACCCAAGACGCAGCGGGCAGGGCCAAACAACTTAAGGCAAACCCCATTTTTATACTTCTTTAGGTAATAAATTTTTGACTAAAGAGTGAGAAAGGAACCGTGAATATCGTTACTCGTTTTGGAGCATGTCTAAAGCCTGGTCCATCCGATAATCAGTAAATCAGTCCGAAACACAAACCAATAAGAATGCGTAAATTTTTGATTAACCCGGAAAAAAAATCCGAAGCACGAACAAAAAAACAGATGCTTAAATCTATCTTGATGCACTAATAAAAAATGTCAGGGAGGCAATTTTATGTATGATCTTAATTAAATTCTAGCTCTAACCTAACTCTAAACTTAAAATCAATTTTTAATTATATAATTGCATAATAAACCAAACTTTAGATATTTTTCTTATTTTTGAAGAAATACTAAAGCAGAATAATGAATTAAGGATTAAGTCAACCCAACAAAACAAATCTGATACAAGAATATGAAAAATAAGTATCTAAATCTAGTTTAAAAAGTTCTAATTTAAAAATGTTAGTAAGATAATTTTTATATAATTTATATTTTAGTTCTAACAAACTTTTTACAAGTTAATTTGCAGATCAAATACAAAAATAACAAATAAATATTTTGGCTTGTGAGCTTTTTTAATATTGTCATGATATGATAATTGACAAACAATTTTATTGGATAATGAAAATATCAATTATTATTGAATTATATTTATTAATATTTTTATTGGATAATTATTTTAGTTAGTTATTATTGTTATTCCAGTTCTTTTAACAGTATTTATATAGCAGAAGATCTTTAACGGGTTTCTTCTTACAGTTATAAGAGGAG